TCACACTTTCATCGGGTGTATTATATTCTTCTCCTCAAGCAATTTCTGGCTCAAATTGATAAAGAACAGCCATACTTCCATAGCGAAATTTGGTTGATTCAGCTCCAGCTATCCAACATGTTCCACTATCTGACGTCATCACACCTCATTCATCCCAAGCCATCAAATCCGCGGTATTCCACAGGGAGCCCAGCTTAAGTCATTTCGCAACTTTGACGAACGATATCACCCCAAAAAACGCATTTCATGGAATTTTCATTTCGATTTTCAAAATCAACAAGGTTTGATGTACATTTTAAGCTATGATGTGTCTGGCACCTCAGAGTCCCTTTAAGTGGCAACAGTGATAACTATAGTATCAATGCCAACAATGATAGCAATAGCAGTGGTATCATCAGAGACATCATCAGCAAAAGTAATAACAGCAACAACATCAATATTAAATGCCGAGACAGTAGCATTGTAGCAGCAGAATCAATGACAGCAACAGAGATGATGGAATGGACAGCAACAGTGGCAAAATCAGTAATAATACCACGATATATCAATGGCACCAACAACAGCAACAGTAGCAACAACACTAGTAGCAACTGCTGGGACAGCAGCAATAATAACTGCAACAGTGGCAACAGCATCAGCAACAAAAATATATAGTACCAATAGTATAGGAGTGACAACAGCTGAGATGGTATGTAATAGCAACAACAGACATATCATCATCATTAATGGCAACTCCTGAGGCAACAAAAGTTGAAGCAATTGTAGCAAAAAGAACATAATCAATAGCAAAAAATTAAGGAATCACACCTCAGGAATCATTTTGACCATTGTTATTTGTCAATATTAAAAAATTGTACAATCTGGAAATTTCTAATCTTCAAAATTAAAGATTTAAGCAAGAAAAAAAAAAATTTTGACAACATCTCATACCTACGACATTAAGCAAAAACAACAAAAGTCTATACAATCTATACATAACCCATGCAATCTAGAACACCTGATCTCAATAATAATATAAATAGTGCCCTAGGGTATATTAAAATATTATGAAACAATTCAAAGAGCGGATGAAAAAATTTAAGAAAAATGTCTCATGTTTTTCTTTTGGTAGATAAGAGTAATAGAGTTAACATTTTGATTGAAAAATTTATTTTTTCAAAACAATACTGAAAGCGATTTTTGCTGTTGTCAAATTTAGACGTGAATAATCAAGTGACATGCCACTATATTTTCTTCCTCTAACGACAATTCTGATTTATGAGTTTTTTTAATGGTAGTAAGACCATTTGTGCAAAATACACAAAAGATCATAAAAGAATCAAGCCAATTTATGAAACAACCTGCTAACAGCATTTAGAAATTTCCACGAAATAATCGAAAAGGTATCAAAATTGAAACCTCTTGAATACAAGAAAAAGTGATGTATCAAGATTGCTTTTMAAACTTTGGGATCGGGGTTTATAGGTTAAGTACAGCTTTAAAGATCAGAGTATAACTAATATAAAGAAAAAGCGTAGAAAATAATACTTCAAACTTAAGCTTATTGTCTCACCGGATTCAAAAATAAAAGTTAAATAAATCTTTAACGTATTCGAYAAAATCACTAAGTAAGACAATGGGAAATAATAACAAGCTTAATAGATAAAGAAACAGTTCCTAGTGCTTACCTGGTACGTGAGGTAAAAAAGCACTTAGACTTTCTTTGACTTTTTTACTGCAGAATTTTTGGTAAACTTGCTCGAGTCCATGATGGACGAGAAGATTTTCGCTTCCAGTCGTTGTGTCACTTGAAGTCGTCGCTATTAACCAAAATAAACAACTACATTAAACATGACCAGTCTTCTGAGTTACAGTCAAGCTACTATGGCTTTAATACTCACCAGGAGGATCATTTCGCAGCAGATAAAATGATGAAGAAGAAGTTGTTTGTGTTGTTGGAGTCGGTGTGGAAGTTGTTGAAACCATATCATAAACCTGCCACTTTTATTCACAGAGATAACACCACACCAGTTGTTGAAGCTTTCTTAACGAAACCCCATGAGATTTCCAGTTCCTACATAGCTGAATGGAGTCCAGGTAACATTAATTTGGATGATTTTTTGATGTGTTTTTAACGGAGAAATTTCACAATCGCTTCCTTGGCCGCCATTATGAACCAGAGCTCCCAAGCTTCCTTGCGCGCTCTTGCTAGAACACAAGGACCGGAAGTCCAAGTCCTATTTGGCGGGAAAAAATTCATATTTATTTAAGGYTTTCGTAGATTTTATCGTTTTCCGAAAAGAATAAATCTTAGTAGCTTTATCGGATAATAACCTGCACGGGTCGAAAGGGCGTAGATTTAAACCCTTGGACATACAATGGCAGGAAATTCTTGGCTTGATTTGCATTGTAAAACCGGAAGTGGTCACGGCTGAGCAAGGGGTTCTAGTCAAGCGGATACATTCCCCGGCAGTGTTTGTCTTGATGCCATTTAACAGTTTGATTTATTCCTTCACATATAACATCTAAATATCATAGAAATTCCCTAAGTATAACCTTAGAATCAAGATATAGTCATAACCATGAGTCGAAACGGGAAAGGGATTGAAGGTATGGTCTGTATAATATCCTAAAGATTGATACTGCGCGACCTAGTAGTGTCCTTCGAATTCGTTTACGAATCTTCCCGCTCTAACGATATTTATTTTCTTTAACTCCTACCTTCACAACTGCCTGAATCGCGGACTTCTCCAACGGAACAGACCAGGTAAGCTTAAGATTCTCCATTGTGAATGCCATTTTTACTAGTATATAAATCTCTTCCACACCCCTAGACTCTAATGAGTACTCAATTTTTTTATAATTCGTAATTCGTAAGTTCATGTACATTTAGAATATACGCTCTAATGACTCAGTAACTTCGAATAGTATTTCTAGAGGCTAAGGATTAATAAAATGCCTTATACAAGAGCCATATAACCAAATATATCGTGTTAATAGTGACATTAATTTATTTCTTGAAGCGTTTGTTTTTTCGCGTGCGTATGTTTAAGCGTTGTAAGACGCTTCCACTTCCAAACGCTAACTTCATATCATGTGTCTCGACACTTGAATATAAAAATGCCATAAGAATTTGTCCAGGTCTTTTTGAATTGAATGCGAAAATACTTTATATCTATTACTTAATTCAAGTTTATTAGATCAGTTATTGATAATTCCTTGCAAACCACAACAATACAAATATCTGAAAACCATATCTGAGCCACAAATATATTATTCAAGTAATTAGTTTAGTCCACATTGCCAAAAAATTAAATAAGGTTTATACTTCAGTAAATATACTCTCAAAATGTGTCGGATTTGGCACTAGAGCTCTCAAATTTGACAACAGCGTTTTACGACCTGTCTGTTCGTCTTATCCTAATTATTTCTTTAGCATTTGAAGCGACCCCCGAGGCGAAGGATTTGGTTATGTATAATTTAACCTTAACACTGTTGTTTAGACTGGTCCTTACATAAATAARAAGGAATTTTATGAACTTGAGGAATGAACAATGCACTTAAAACAATAGTTGCCTGGCAGACACCAACTCATGAAAATTTAAAAGTCTAAAAAGTTGATAAATAGATTAATAAGTTAAGACACATGGCGTTTAATGTTATTTCAATTAATAATTTTTTGTCTTTGGTAGATAAGAGTATCATATATTAAGAGTCAAGGTTACATAGACAGTCTTTAAATGGTTGATAAGAACATCTGGCTATTTATTATGCATCATTGATCTTCTTGTCCACTTCATCAACATACTTTAGGCTTGTCTGTTATCCATCCATCCATCCATCCATCC